GAACCAAAATCAGAAGCTCACAACGGAACACTGACACAAATGCGCAGCTCGAAACGTCAACTGCAATTCATGCGGAAAAAGAGAACAATTTTGCAAAAAAGCTGAAATTCAACAAAATCCCAAAAACAGATAATGTCGTGGCCGATGAAGAAAAGACAAACTTCAATGATTCAGCTAGCAAACCGGAATACTAAGTACTAAGAATCAATGAAGTGTTACACCACAAAAATTCATTAAATAGCTTTGAAGTCGTCATTTACATCGCAATGTGCATAACGAAGTGTTTAAGAGCTACAAACAGAGCAAATGGGGCCCTAATAAATGTGACTGTCATCAACCAGAATAGGACAGCTGACATTTTATTACAGATGGATTTCAAAGAAAAAAGAATCTCATTTCAAGAAAAAAATTTACAAGATCATATGTGAATTATAACCAAAGACCGACAACATTATTCGAAACTTTATTGATAGACATCAATTCAAACGGTCGAGTGTAGAAGAAGATAAAAATCTTGATAACCGAAAATGAACACGTTGTCTACTAGGACTAGATTTACGATAACGACTCAGAAGATAACCAAGAAGGGTCACAAAGCAAAATTAGATAAAGGTACCCTTTAACATTTCGTAGCGCCGATAGTTATAACGGCAAAAAGGACGGATCAATCAAGTTAGGAGTGAACGCCAAGCCGATGAACGTACAATTTTTAGCAAACAATTTTCAGATGCCCAATCTAATTGAACTATAAAAACCTGCACCCCCAATTATCTCATCAGTTACAAGAGAGAACCCTGGTTTACACCTCCAGATCTTAAGTATGCTTTCAGTCAGTTAAGTCTATATGAATCGATAAGTCAGCGTTGTAAATTCAGTATCGTATGTGGTGAATACACGGGTACAGATAGATCACAACAAGATAGCCGAAAAAGTCCAAAAGAGAACAGATGCAGAAGGCTTGGCATTAAAGCTCAGCATATGCGAGTTTTCCAAAGAACCTCCAACCTGGTTAGGATTCGAGATTGATTCAGTAGGCAAGTACCAACTTCTTCAGTTTTGAAAAATTGACGAGCAATTTGTAATCATGAGTTCATGAGTTCGACATAGCAATTCATGAGTTCGACATAGCTTGCAGAAAGTTTGAGTGGAATGTTACCAAAGAATCATCAGAGGACTTAAAAATGGAAAACATCAAAACTGTCGAACCAGATTAAGTTCAGAATCAGGAGTTATAAAGCAAGAAGGAGCTATACACCAAAAATTTTGACCAATCAGAGAACAAACTTTTTAATTATGCAAATTTATGCACAAATCGACACCAATCAGAGTGCAGCAGGGCTACATCACCTCGAAAAATGAAAAGTTTATTGCCTACGAGTTTACTGTCATACTCATTTATCCATAACTATCTCAAATTTTAACCAAATCATTCTTTTTGTGTCAGTTCTAGCCCAATTTCATCAAAATTTTATTCAATTTCATCAATTGATCTCAATTCAAAATTACAAAGTTCTCAATTCAAAACAATATCAATTCCGTTTTTAAACTTCAAAAAATGTCTTCAAAGCAAATATTCAATCTATCTTTTATATCAGAAAAAAGTAAATAACATATCAGTAGGTTCAAGAATGAGGGGAAGGACGGCAAAAAGACCGTCAGAAATTGTACTGGCCAAGAAACGGAAACAAGTAACTAAAATCTCCCCAAAAATGAATTCAAAATTGAAGAATAACTATACCAAAACACTTACAAAACTTAGATTAGAAAAAATCCTCAATAAGGCGAAACTCAACTGCATGTTCAAGAAACTCAACAAAATCTCGGCGGAGAACATTCATATCGAAAATTTTTTTACAAAAGACAGTCAACTGGCACCACTTAGAAAGTGTATACTGGCCTAAAAAAAGATTTCCTCCGCTACCTCTCAGGATTTTAGGTTGTTATCACAGTAAAAAACGATTGGGTTATCATTGACAACCGAATGGCTGTCCTGAAGGTTTGAAAAAGGCAGTCAAGAATAGACTACATTGCACACATCATGGACAGGAATCAATGATTGATGCGGCAGTGTACTTGTGGTGACCAGGAATGCACCGCGAGATTATCGACCAGTGCAAAAACTACAAATGGTGTTGACTAAATTGTAAAAACGTTAGATCTGCCAAACCTTCCAACTAGGCTAAACCACTACTTAATTTTGCAGGCCTCAGTGAGGAGCTCTAACTTGGTATTGCAGGCCCACTGTTAGATTTAAAAAAAGGAAGAAGCTTTGTATCTAAGTAAAAGTTAATCGATTCCCTAAAAATCCGTCAGCATTAGTAATCAGATCAACAGGCGCAGACAAAGTCCAACAATTCTTATCTGACTGAAACCAAAATCATAGTACCGCAAAATATCACAAAGTAGATCAGTATGCCGATTCCGGTTTCAATATAAAAAAGTTTTGACTTTTCATAATGAAAAGGTAATAAGTCACATATTTTGCGCAGTTGAGTATCATGGTGGATTTCGCTTAGTTGAGCCTTGTCTTCAAACAATAAAAAAAAGCTAGGCACGATGGAAATTGACTCTAAATTTTCCGATTTTCAGTAGTCATTGTGAATTATATTGAAGGATATCAGATGTGCGAAACACGCAGTTACCACAAAATCAACCTTCTGTTTCGTTTTGGACAGAAATCAAATACTTATTTTTCATTTGCTAGGGACAAACAGTTACATTTAGATCGAGAACAAATAGCCAGAGATGTGCTAACTCCGTAAAAAAACGAGAGAGCGATCAGATTCCAGAAGCAGACTAAATCTAATCCTCAAGAGAAACTCAGATTCACAACTGAAAAGCGGGTGGAAACGGTCAGAAGAAAAAGAGATGAAAGCTCTAGAGAATCTGGAAAAGGCAGCGTGTAACTGGTGAAATCTAAAGTGACATCTATCAAGTTCACAAAGCTTGAGAAATTTGACTGCAAGAGAACTAATCCTTGCAGCCAGCTTGAGGAACGATTAAAATCAGGGTAAGCTCAGTTTCAGGACATAGCAAGACAAGAGTCCTAAGTAGTCTAGAATTTGTTCCCATCAATTATCCAAATAAAAAGGATGTAGTTCGCATAGCAAGAGACCGAAGTCGGAAAAACTACTAATTAACCTATTCAAGAGCAAAGTTGTCAAAGTAACAGACTCTACTGACATCACTGAGAAGGGCAAAGTGATAAGGAAAAATCATGTATCAAGAAACCAAACAAAGTTAGAGATAATTTGTCTGATTTATAAAATAGAAAGAGAGGAAGCCTATTAACACCAGCAGCCTGCCAGCTACTGTACCATCATCAGGTTCAGCACAAGGATTGGCAAAGAAGAAGAAGCCAGTATTCATTTTGCGCAGAGATGATCTATCTTCAGTCTCAGCGTCCTCGGAAGAAAATCAAGAAGAACTTCCAATAAAAACATAAATAACTCAGGCAGGATCATTTTGGACGAAACTATGTTAGTCGAATCGAAAACTCCAGAAGAGCAAATTTATAAAATTGGCAATAGCAAGTCCTGTGAAGAATCCGATAGTGGACTTCGCATTGACATCAGTGGGCTCTTCAGATAAAGGGGAAGAAGTATTACTAGAAGCAAGACAACTAGATGCTAGTTCGCCGTCATTCCAAATACCAGGAGATCCAATATCATTGGGGGATTCGCAAATCAGTCAGGAGCAGGCAACCCAAGACCAAGACCTTTTGAGTCACAGACTTTTCCGATTATGCTAATAGTTGAACCAGCTAAACTAGAGGAAACAGCGGCACAAACAAAAGATGCTGCACAAACTCAAGGCAAACAATTGATCGACAGGACAGATGCAAAAGAAGAATCTCAGACAAAATCGCCAACGAGAGCCTCCAACAGAAGTAGGAGACAAACGAGATTTTTTGGGAGCCCGCTACGTCAAGCGATCAAATCAATTTGTTGGAGACAGTCTCAGTAGATCTGGCCCAACCAGAAGAAAGTTCGCCAGATCGAAACAAACTGATATCAGCGTCGCCAGAGGGATTTCATCGAGTCCAAATTTACCAAAGTACAAAAATAAAATGTCACAGAGGGCCATATTAAAACCAAAACAAGTGAAAAGAAGATAAACTATGTTTGAGTTTGTTTTTGTTTTTGTCAAATTTTACTCGAAATAGATAAAGTTTTTAAAAGGGGGAAGTGTCATACGGCGTAGTATCCGTATTCAATGTCATGGTGTTATTCTAGCGCAGTCTAGGTTACTACTGTTAATTGACACCTGTCAGCACTAGTGAATTTTTCACGTTTCAGCGTGACACTTTTTCATCTCCGTTGAAAGGTTACGGTTGATACCCTTTGTTATTTCTGAAACTAATTCTAACTACTTCGACATCCATATCTTACAAATTACTGTTGTTTTAGATAGTTTTCCAGCTGAGTTGATTGTAGCTTTTCTTTTTTCTAGGGAATCTCAATGTGATTGTTTGCTAGCCTTTTTAAGGTTACGATTTTTCATTGCCCCTAATCTGTTGTTGAGACCATGCTGACTATTGATGTCAGGACAATATTTAGGCCTTGTCGATGCGGTCCTGTATGTGATCAGAAAAAATCCTGGTTTAGCCAACTGCACATTGTGAAGCCATATATGCGGATTTGTTTTGCTAATTGCAACTGTTATACAGTTTTGTAAGCTCACACTCTGACAAAAAATCAAACTCTTGGTGAGAATTTTTATATATACAGATAAAAAATTGTCGCTTAACTCAACCCAGGTGACATTGATTGCCTTTGGTTGATTTTTTTCTAGGTGGACCGTACAATATCCAAGTCGAATCATGTATCGACCCTGGTCGACCCAATTATCAACCCAGAACGACCCATGTTACGGCCCTGGTCGACTCATGTAACCTATATAGCTTGGACAAATGCATTGGAAAAGATAATTTCTGTGTCGGAATTTTCTGTGCCCTTTCGCAGAAACTGTATTTTTTGTTTTTATGATACTCCAGACACTTAATGTTGAATAAATCAATTTCAGAGACTCACTTGATAATTATTTATTTCCAAAATTAAAATGCAAAAAAGTATGTTAGTGCAGTTTTTTTAATTTAGTTAAAGAATTACATGGTTTTCTTTATACTTTTAAGAAACTTGTTTCATTTAGGCTCCTCAATTTACATGTTTTTGTTTCTTCTAATCTTCAGGCGATGAGTCATGATTAGCTCATGAGTCGGGAATGGGAGTGAACTGTCGCATATTGTGTCTGTAGGACTGGCCTATCTCTTGCTTGGAGAACTCAATCAGTCCGTCCGTCTCCTGGTCGAACTGTTCCCTCAGTCGCTTCACCTCTCCATTCTTCTCCCGCTCAAACTTCTTCCACTTGTCACAAATGTCCAGCACCTGAACAAAGTTTTTGTCAATATTTATTTTTCAGTATTTGCCAAAGATGTCATAGAGAATGAACAATTTAAATAATTCAGTTTTCCCTAAAACTAATCGTTGGAATTTCATGGTATAGTTATGATAGGACGTCCGAGTTTTTAGCTTCTAGTAGACAAATCTTTGCAAAAAATCGACATTGAAATACATTTTAAAAGATTTATTATCCCACATCGGGAATGGCTTTTAATACAAAAACATACTAACATTATTTTTGACATACAGATTCAAATGAATTATCGAATGAAATTATTGGACCAGATCATGCCTTAGCCTTCAATGGCATCGAAATAATAGGCTTGCGAAAAACCTTCCAGAGAAAATTGCTGCTTCGACTAGTGCTCAATAATTATTTTTTTTTCAGTTCGAATTAATAATTGTGAAAAAATAGATAATGCAAAAAAAACAGATGATGCAAGAAGAAATAGATTATGAAAAAATAAAAGATAAAGCAAAAAAATGATGATGCAAAAATAATGCGAAAAATAATTAAGCAGCAAAAGATGATGCAAAAGATAATTAAATTAACAATTCAAAATTGAAGGGTGTTGTTATCGAATTTGACAGTTTCATGATAATGAAAGCACGCCATGGCGTAATATTTGGTGGTCTGACCAGAGTCTGGTTGGTGGATATCATGTTGATGGTCTCTTTGGCAGTCCACCTGAGGAACTCCAGAGCAGATGACACTGTCTGAGACCTGTCTGTCCGGGGGTCACTCACTCCCAACGCTTTCACCAGCTTCACACTCGTCTTCTCAATACTATTGATTGTCCTCTGCTCTGCAAAACGCAAAAAAAAGCAGTTTAGGTCTGACTTTTTGAGGACGAACTGTCCATTTTCTGGCCGATTCAATTATAATTCCGAGCACTTAATTGTAGTGAAACTCAACGCTTAAGTTTCTTTTTCTCTCATTTTGCCGCCCACTATAGCTATGATTAATTTCTATGAGGAATAAAATTTAGTAATCTCTCACCTAGCTTCTGTAGTTGCTCCTCAAGAGATACAAATTTAGTCTTGATGTCAGCCAACTTCGTCTCTGAAACTTGCAGATTCTGTTCCACAACCTTTTTATCTGCTCTTTCTTTTTCTATCTCAGCCTCCAGTTTCCTTTTCATTTTTTCCTCCAGTTTTTGAGATTCTGAAGCATGCTGAGATTCTAGTTTAGATTTTAGAGACTCCAGTTCTTCACGATGACGTTTTTTGAGCATGTCAATTTCGTCATTCAGACCTTTCTCACGTGACTTGAGAAGTTCAACCTCGTTTTCAACTCGTCTTTTCTTCTCTTCCGTATCTTGATTCTGATTGGCTAGTTTTCTTCTGAGGGAGTCCACTTCGTACTCGTTTTTGTTGGACAGTGATCTTTGTAAGTCGTGCAACTCGGCCTGAGCTCGGTCCTTTTCTCTCGTCAACGCAAAGCAAAGAGATCGTTCGTGATCATCTTTTAATTTTTCGATTGCTGACTGAAAATTGCACTGTTTTAGAATTCAATATTCTGACCATTGAAAATAGGGAGAAACTTTATATTCGGGTGTGTTTTAGTTTTTCTTTTTTTGGTTTTGTCTTTTGCTTTCCACGCCAAAAATAATCATTGGACTGGGTTGAGTGATATATCATTGTATATATCAGCCTAACAAAAAACACCGTACTCTGGCCGTTTTTGGAGGTTTTTGACTCAAAGTTGTGCCTTCTGGCGCGCAATCTTCCTCAAAATTAGAATAAATTAGCATCAAAGGAGGCCCCTTTCAAAAAAAAATTGAAAATTCGGGCTGTCGGTTAAAAAAAGGGTGCAAAAAATAGTACCAAAAGGAACCCTATAGGTGATAAGGGGTCGAAACCCTAAAGAAGAACGCGTCCCCACTCGCCCCTTCACTTAATCCGCTAGTGTTTACAAAGAAGAGTTCTAACTATTAGTGAGATTCTACAAATAATGAGATTTCTGCAACGGTAGAAAAAAAATCTAACGATAAAAAATATTAGATTGCTTGCAATGATTTGTTACAGATTTCAAAGTTCTTTAGAGTGTGGCTATAGAATAATCGATTTTGTACCCGGTGCTCGGCGCTGTCTCTGGTGATTCTGGCGCTCAACTCGGCTATAGTTTGCTCCAGTTTCTCCTTCGTCGTCTCAAATGACCTCTCACCTCTCCTCGCCTCACTCTCATGCGACTCCCTCAGACTTCTTTGAACCTAGAAGTTTCAAATTTCTACCCAGTGAAGTAGAACTAACATTTTTCCAGGGTTATGCAACCTTATTATGTTTCGGTGTTTTCTTCATACGATATACTTTTTATTAAATTTCAACAGTTTGAAAACTTAATCGTAATCTGGATTTATCAAAGGAATCAAATTCAAAAACTTACTGAGGTACATTCTTCTAACACTCATCAACACTCTTCAGGATGGCATGACATATGAAATATTTTAGATATGTTTCTTTTTACTTTGAAATAGACAGCAGTGTGAGATTTAATCAATTTAGTATATATAAGAGTTGTTTTTATATTTTTCTTCAGAGTCTAAATAAACAATTCAGCAAAATATAGAACTCTTGCTGAATTAACTCACAATTGAAATATGATAATGAGCTTTGCGAATAGCAAAAAATATATGAATATCGTATGTTAGTGACGTTTTTTTTATACTGAAGAGTTTTCTGAAGCTTTTTTTGGAATTCAAACCACGACTGAAAAGATGCCCTCCTCAGTCGCTGGGGACTTGTTGCTGGGGACTTGTTTTTTGTTGTTGTAGAACAACCAATTCTTGTATTCTAACATTCTCAAAAAAAATTTGGACAGACTAAAAAGGAGCTCACCTTTTCTACTTCGTATTCCAGCTTTTCCGCATGGAGTTTCTTCAGTTTCTCACTTTCCTGCTGATGTTGCGAGTTCATTTCGTCGATTTTGCAGTTGATCGACTCAACTGTCACCATATGGTTTCTCTCTCGTTTGTCCATCTCTGCTTTGAGGTGGCGCAACTGTTCGGCTAGTTGGGAGCACCTGTTATCACTGGCTTCGAGACTCCTCGATAGATTTGAAATTTCGTGATCTGCAAGAAATTTAGTTGCTTTGAGGCGAAATTTTAACAAAATTGGCGTCAAAAATCCAAAAAACCTACAAACGCCTTCTTAGTTTTCTTCGAAAGTTCGTCTGCCGTGCAGAAAAACGATTTAGGAAAACTCAGAATATCATTTTGGCTGACCTAAAAAAAGGTAGACAGAATTTACAAGAAAATTTTTGATATTTTTTTGATATCCCTGCGCCCATCGAGAAAATCCTTAATCCGCCTCTTCGCTCAACGACGAATAGTCGAATAGCTATAGGTCTGGCGAATAATTTGGCAACTGGATGAAAACAGGGGCGAATTTAGGAAAAGATGTCCCCGCTCGAGGATTTCACCTCTTCAGTACCAAAATGTCCCCTTTGATAGCTTTTTAAAATATCCAAAACATCTATTTTCTGCTGAACAACCGGATAATCAATTTGTTCTACCCAAAAAAAGGCCATCAAAGTTATTGATTATTAATTTCTTATTAAGTTTTCAAAAAGCGTTTCTCAATCAATCTTTACCTTTTGCATCTGAATTGGCAGTAACAGCACCCAGTTGTGCGGTCAGTTCATCCACCTGCTGTTGCAGTGAGTCCACCTTGGCCTGAGAGCGGAGAGAGAGGGATTCGAACTCGGACTTCCTGCTCCTCAGCTGTCTCTCTGTCTGCTCTAGTTGTTCACTCAGTCGTTCTATCTCTCCCATCTGGTGATCAACTGTCATCGAGTAGCTTCTCTTCAGTTCAAGAAGATCTCCTGTTGGTAATTTCATATGTTTCAAAACAACGAGGGAAACTTTTACAACTGGGTAGAAAAGACATACAAATTCTTAAGACTAAAAAAACCCAATGGCATAACCCGCGACTAAAAAAAACAACAAGAAACTTAATTATTGTAAAGAAGTGCTATATTTCAATCCGATTTTGAAATAAAGCAACTATCGTTTCATATTCCCAAACCTAACCTTTCAGCGTCCAGTCAAGTGCCTCGAGGTCAGCTGTGAACTTTGAACTGGACAGTGGCACTGTGGTCTCTCTGATGCCTCCGGGCGAGAGAGGTCTCTCGTAGTGCAATCCCAGATACCTCCCCACTGAAGACGAAGACACTTCGGGATGGTAACTCGAGTCGAAGCGTGGTTGAGATTCACTTTTGTCTGTCATTTTAACCGACATATTTCAAATAAAATCACGGTTTTCTTATGATGAAACCAAAAAAAAATCTAACTACAGGTGAAAAAAAGTCAAACTTCATTTTTTTAAACGTTCACAGTTTATAACTAAAACCTTATTAGGTAGCTCCGCTCTGTTTTTTTTTGTAACTGATAATAGAGGAAAATAGAACCCCCAGTCAATATTAAAAGTGATCGGTACTACGCTCCGTTATCCATTATGCTGAACCATTACGTTAATTAGTATTTTAAGAGTTTAAAAATTGTTATCAGATGTAGGTACCAAGAAACGCCTATGGTAATACGTATAGAAGCATTAAGAATTTTTGTTGAATATGACGGTCTGATTTTCTTCCCATTGTCTAGCATCCGTAGCAGAGTTGCAGTGGGCAGTGAACTCAGGTCAAATTTGGAACTCAAACTGTTCAACGACATCGAATTCACTTTTGGAGTGTTTATAACCGAGTCAAACTGAACTAAGTGGTCTCTAGAATGCAATGCTTCTGATTCTGTCATGACAAAAAGTCTAACGGACCCCTCCTCAAAGTGAAAAATAACTATTGAAAAGCTACACGTGTCTCAAAATTAGAGCAAATATTTACTTTTTCAGCTGAGATAAAGCCTCGTTGATTAACCAGACTGTAAATTTTTGGCGTTTAATTGTTCTTTCATGTTAATCAGAATTATATAACTTAGAAAAATTCACTCAGTCAATTCTGGCGTAAGCTTTGTGTTGAACACATTAACTTGTGTTGAACAATAAATTATAAATATTATATTATGTGAAGTATTTGTGTTATTTGACGAGTACAGAAAAAGATGCTTGAGATTTTAATCGAAACCGCTGCTCAGGTGGTCTCCCTCGAATTCCCAGAGTTCCAAATTGTTGTAACTGTTCCCATTTTCGTAGAAAAAAAAAACAAATATTTTCCTCGGAGTGCTTTTAGTTCCTTAGAAAAGTTGTAACTTCCCGGGTCGAGGAGCTTAATTCATGTTTGGACTTTCTTTGCGACTGAAATTCCGCGGCCGAGAAGCAATTTTAGGTGGAGCATAAAGTCGAAACATACCCAGTTTTTGTCGAGAAAATCGCAACGAAGGTCGAGCACGGTCGAAACATAAGTCGAGCACAGTCGAAACATAAGCCAAGCACAGTCGAAACATATGTCGAGCAGAGTCAAAACATATGTCAAGCACAATCGAAACAGAGAGAAGAGTCAAAAAACGGACCTAGAAAAGCAATTTTTGACAGATTTTTTGAGGGCACAACTGAAAGACAGATGCAAATAGCAGAACAATCCTGTAAAAAATGTGTTTTTAATAACAGCTAGCAAGACTAGCATAATTGCTCATCACATACATGACCGCCACACGAGAAGGTCTACACCTGGTCCCGAAAAAAATTAAACTCAAAAAACAAAACTAGAAAATAATCAAATGAATCATTAAGTTCTCATTAAAATGTCAATCGTCAATTCGAGTTTCTTGTAATGGGGTTGCTTATATAGTAACTATTGACTGCCCGCACTGACAGAAATGGTTTCCGGTCGATTTAAATTGATTTTAAATTGATTTTAAATTGATCCAAATCGATTGAACATGTACAATTTACGAACTTAAATGGATTTTAAATCGATTTAAATCGAATTTTTTGAAATTTTTAAATCGATTTAAGTGTCTAAAAAATCAATTTAAATCGATTTCGATGAATTTTCCGACACACTAAATTGATTTTTTTGCTAACACGGCGAATAAAACATACCCTTTAAAAAATTGTTGGACTTTTTTTTTCTTGATCTTTTAAACATAAACACTCGTGCCAGATGTTATAGAATTCAATAAAATGATCAACTAAATAAGGTTTTAAACTTGAAAATTTGCAATATAATCATAGAAAACCATTGTAAATCAGATTATGGGCAAAACCTTGTGTAACAAACCAGAAAAAGGTCAGGTAAAATTAAATTGTGATCTCAATAATAGGCAATAAAATCATAGAAAATCTTGAAAGTAAATCAGATTTTAAGCAACAACTAATGAAGCGAATCAATACAAGAGTCAATATAGATCAGTTTTTGAACTCAAATATGCAAAAAAATTATAGAATTTTATCGACATTTTGGTCTTTTAATTTGGTCTTTTTCATGCTACTATACGCTATGGATGTAAAATAAAAAATCATAGGCAAGAAATAAATGCAATAAAAACTTAAACTCAAAAAACAAAACTAGAAAATAATCAAATGAATCATTCAGTCCTCACTAAAATATCAATCGTCAATTCGAGTTTCTTGTAATGGGGTTGCTTATATAGTAACTATTGACTGCCCGCACTGATAGAAATGTCTTTCGCTCGATTTAAATTGATTATAAATCGATTTTGAATCGATCCAAATTGATTAAACATGTACATTTTACGAACTTAAATGGATTTTAAATCAATTTAAATCGATCTTTTTGAATTTCTCAATTCAAATTAAGTGTTTAAAAAATCAATTTGAATCGATTTCGATGAATTTTCCTACACACTAAATTGATTTTTTTGCTAACACGGCGAATAAAACATACCCTTTAAAAAATTGTTGGACTTTTTAAGTAACAACTAATGAAACGAATCAGTATAAGGGTCAATATAGATCTGTTTTTGAACTCAAATATGCAAAAAAATCTTAGATTTTTCTCGATAATTTGGTCCTTTTATTTGGTCTTTTTTATGCTACTATACGCTATGGATGTAAAATAAAAAATAATAGGCCAGAAATAAACGCAATAAAAACTTGAAACTAATAATACTTGAATAAAAAAAATCGATTTAAATTGATATAAACCCGTTTTAATCCCCCTAAAAAAAACACTTTCAGACTGGAAAAAGTGCATTCAAATTGATTTAAAATCGATTTGGATCAATTTTTTTTAGCTGGGATTTAAGATCAATTTAAATCAATTTTAAATCGATCCAAATCAATCTTCATCTTTTTTATTTAATCTTCATACTAAAATCGATCTAAATTTAATCAACGTACTTTTTTCATACTAAAATCGATTTAAATTTAATCAACGTACTTTTTTCATACTAAAATCAATCTTAATCCATTTTTGTCAGTGCGGGTGGTGTCATCAGACTCGGAAATTACAGGTGCGTCAAGTTTAGGTGTGAAAGTGGAAACATTTAATCCCTTTTGAAAAAAATTGAAGGCGCTTTTGAAAAGAAATGTCGATTTGGTCCTCACAAAATCTCTATAAAAAAATGTACCCATAGGGGGGACCCTGTGGTTAAAAACATTGTGCTCAAGAATTGAAGGGGGAGGGCAGTCGCCCTCCTCGGCACGCTACTGCTCGGGTGTAAAAAGCCTAAATTTATTGTAATAGTTAAATTTTTGGTGCAAATATAATCACGTAATTTGCTTGAGTTTCGTAACAAGTCAATTAAATTACATGATTAGTTTGCAGCGAAATAATTGATTTTTGTGGACTATGGAAGTTTATCACAGATTTTAATTTCATTAATTGAGAACAGTCTAAAATTAAACGCTTATTTTATGTCAGAGCAGTTAAATTTATTAGAACTGGCTCGGTCAGTTTTAAATCAGCAGATCTAAGCTGGCTCTAGCAGAAGTGTACAACTTTTCTTATGAGACTTATAAAATTTGATAAAACGATTTAATTTTTGCCTGAATTTGGTCAATTTAATCAATCATTGAGTAAATTGGAACTGAACTGAGTCATATTTAAATTTGATTACGTAAGTCTAAGAAACAAACATTGGCCCAAAAAATATTCTGAAAACTGCCTGATAAGAAAAACAGAAAAATGTCAAAATTGAGGGGAAACGAATCTCTTTAATTTAAATTTTAGTCGCTAAATCAGCCTTATGCTCGAACAAACAGTTTCCAAAAATACTTTTAAAACTGTGATATAAGGTAATCAGACATAAATTTATTACATAAATTAATCAAATTTTTAAAGTTTTAGTCACTCAAATATGACTTTATGGCTGATATAGAAAAAAAATACGTCAAAAATTCCTAGTTAAAAGTCAAAACTTGTCAGCAGAAAAAAACCATCCCGAGCACAAATATTACGTCTCTTTTTTTGAAAGTCGGAACAAAAAATATTTACGTTCATGTATAGAAAAAAAGCCTATTTTAACATTCTATTTATGGAAAAAAAATCTAATTATACAATTTCACCAATAAATAAAAAGCTAGTCATGCTTTTTTTAAGCAGTTTTTTTTTATCTGGAAAAGTAAATGTATGACATGCAAATTTTTATTGATGAAAAGCGTACAGGAGTCTTTTTTGTCAACCCGGGTCGTCATTTGAGTTTTACAAGAAATTCACTAAAACAGACATTTTCCTTATTTCAACACCTATACCACTTTGCATTACAAACGAAAGGTCAAAGCAGTCAAAACATGCAACAGTTTGTTTGGGATAGTCAAAACAAGCATAAGTCGATACCTCGACCCGTGTATCTCCTGAGCTGTGTATCTAGTGACTTAATGTTCCGACTTTCGAAAAAAGTGATTAAATGTTGTGTTCGGAGTGGTTTTTTCTCCAGAAAAATCTGGAAATTTCCAATGCGCAGATTGGACTTTTTGATGGAATTTTTAACTATGAATTTTTGACGGAACTGTTTTTCAGTATGAGTTTTGGTAATTTTGGTACAAAGTTTTGGTAATTTTTTATTAATTGTTTTCGAAAATATATTTTTTTAAAGCGACCTTCAAATACCATAAAAAGCCATCCAAATTTTATTCTGAGACAAACAGTTTTGTTATAATTGAAATTTAGCGTATTTCGAAATACATTAAAACGCTTTGCTCTTTGATCAGTTAGTTAAAACAAATTAAAATTCACAGATTTCGTATTTTTATCTAATTTTTTGTTATGTAGCATTGTTAGCGCGTGCATTTGAGCCTTTTATGCATTTTGTGAACAATTTTTTGGGTCAGTTTTCTCCAAAAAAATTACTTAAAGCAAGCTAAAAAAACCCTTTAACTTTAGAATCTAAATCTGGAACTAGTTTTGGTCAACTTTCGGATTTTATGCATTTTTTTTCAATAGCCTGATTTTGTTGAATTGTTTTTGTGTTCAGCCAGCTTCTGCCGCGTATAAAGAATGATACATCAGTTTGTTCAGAATACTGTTCGCATATAAAATAGTTGAAATATTGATATGTTCAAATGCCCACAAAAGCTGACTACCGAAAAATGAGTTATAAAATCCTGAATTGTATTCTGTCTTTCTGATTTTTTTTTCTCAAAACCGTACGTCCTTGGTCAGGGTTATTTGGAGCTTTTACACTCGGGATAGTCGGGATAAAGGAAGGATAACGAGAAAAAAATTATTTTATCGGGGAAAGTCGGTGCTGTCCAGAATGAAGCTATTTGAGTTAGGTTCTAGGTTTAACTCATTGAGTAATTTCGGATAGGGTACACCGTCTGCTCGTCACGCTATCTTATTTTCGGCCGGATAGATTCGTGCAACTTCTTAGTCTAATACCGATCCTAATCTTACTCTTATATCTACTAGTCTCAGGGTGATTAACTAGTCTCTGCTAGGCTCAATAGATCTAGAGTATACTGGCTTATTGCGATTGCTAAAGTTCTCTTGGAGAGGTAAGTAATTTCTAAGTTAAATTCAAATCTCTCTGGTGCTGAAATTACAAGTAATGTCAGCACTTACAAATAAGTGGCTTGTTAGTTAGATGGATCGTGATTGATTAAAATAAAATATT